ATATATGATGTTAAATTAAATCCAGGTGCTGTCAAATATATACACTGTTGACTTCAATACAGTAGTTTATGATGCTAAATCCAGGTGTTGTCAGATCTATACACTGTTAAAGTCAATACAGTAATATATGATGTTAAATTAAATCCAGGTGCTGTCAAATATATACACTGTTGACTTCAATACAGTAGTATATGATGCTAAATCCAGGTGTTGTCAAATCTATACACTGTTGACTTCAATACAGTAATATATTATTTTAAATCCAGGTGCTTCAAATCTATACACTGTTGACTTCGATACAGTAGAATATGATGCTAAATCCGGGTGTTGCCAAATCTATATACTGTTGACTTCAATACAGTAATTTTAGATGCTAAATCCGGGTGCTGTCAAATCTATACACTGTTGACTTCAATACAATGGTATAGGATGCTAAATCCGGGTGCTATTAAATCTATACACTGTTGACTTCAATACAGTAGTATATGATGCTAAGTCCGGGTGCTGTCAAATCTATACACTGTTGACTTCAATACAGTAGTATATTATGCTAAATCCGGGTGCTATCAAATCTATACACTGTTGACTTCAATACAGTAGTATATGATGCTAAGTCCGGGTGCTGTCAAATCTATACACTGTTGACTGCAATAAAGTAGTATATGATGCTAAGTCCGGGTGCTGTCAAATCTATACACTGTTGACTGCAATAAAGTAGTATATGATGCTAAATCCGTGTGCTGTCAAATCTATACACTGTTGACTTAGGTACAATAGTACATGTCAAATTTATACACTGTTGACTCAATACAGTAGTATATGATGCTAAATCCGGGTGCTGTCAAATCTATACACTGTGGACTTCAATACAGTAGTATATGATGCTAAATCCGGGCGCTGTCAAATCTATACACTGTTGACTTAGGTACAATAGTACATGTCAAATTTATACACTGTGGACTTCAATACAGTAATATATGATGCTAAATCCAGGCGCTGTCAAATCTATACACGTTTAAATTGTTTTGTCATCCACTGAAATCATCAATCGGAATTCAAAAACATATAAAGGGGCTGACATAAGGCAATGAATAACTAGAGCACGAAAATATAGCTGCATAACATAACTATTTCTATGTTATTAAACATAGAAAGACATCCGAATGTGTCAAAGGTTTAAAAAGATTTAAGGAAGCATGAAATGGTCTCCTGAACTACACTAAAATGAAATAGATACTTAGTATGTTTGACATTCTGTAGTATCATGTAAAGTATGTTGATAAAGTACCTTATTAGAATACCATAAAAATACTATAATAAAGGATTAGACAAAGCGTCTCAATAAAGTATCTTACAAGGTGTTTTAATAAAATATCTTATATATATATATATATATATATAT